TTCACCGATACAGATCCTAGGGCATTGGAAACTAAAGAGAAAATAAACAAATGGGACTACATCAAAATAAAAAGCTTCTGCACAGCAAAAGAAACCATCAACAAAACAACAAGAAAGCCCACTACATGGGAGAACATATTTGCCAATGTTATATCTGATAATGGTCTAATATCCAAAATTTATAGGAAACTCATACATCCTACCAAAAAGAAGATAAACAATCCAATCAAAAAATTGGCAAAGGACTTAAATAGACACTTTTTGAAAGTGGACATACAGAAGGCCAAGAGACAGATGACAACATGCTCAATGTCACTAAGCATTCGAGAGATGCAAATCAAAACACCAATGAGATACTATCTCACACCTGTCAGAATGGCTAGCATCAACAAATCAACAAACAACAAGCGCTGGTGTGGATGTGGAGAAAAAAGGAACCCTTTTGCACTGCTGGCTGGAATGCAGAATGGTGCAGCCACTGTGAAAAACAGCATGGCGTTTCCTCAAAAAATTATAAATGGAACTCCCATTTGACCCAGTAATCCTACTTCTAAGAATACATCACAAGAAACTAGAAACATCGATCAGAAAGGACAAATGCACCCCTATGTTCATAGCAGCACAATTTACAATAGATAATATTTGGAAAAGCCCAAGTGTCCATCAGCAGATGAGTGGATTAAAAAACGGCAGTACATCTACACAATGGAATACTACGCTGCTATGAAAAAGAAAGAACTCTTACCATTCGCAACAGCATGGATGGACATGGAGAGCATTATGCTAAGCAAAATAAGCCAGTCAGAGAAAGATAAATATCACATCTCACTCATTTGTGGAATATAATGAAAAACATAAACTGACAAACAAAAACAGATCCATGGACAGAGAAGCATCAAACAGACCATCAAAATTCAGAGGGCAGGCAGGGGAAGGGGGTAAGAGATCAACCAAAAAACTGGAATGCATGCATATAAGCATAACCAATAGACACAGACACTAGGAGGAGGTGAGGGCATGTGCTGGGGGGTGGGGGTGGCCCGGGAGTGGTCAATGGAGGAAAAAGGAAACATGTAATACTCTATTGGTATGTAATATTTTAAACAATAAAGAATTTTTTAAAATAATAATAATGATACTATACACTGCTGTTAATGATAACAATCATGTATCTGAACCTAGTTAAATGTTTCTAAAAATGTATGTTTCCATTTGTTTGTTGTTGGGAACTTCAAAATCTATATATATAAAAGTCTAAGCAACCAGTCTACTGAACAACCGGTCACCATGACACGCACTGACCACCAGGGGGCAGACGCTCAACACAGGAGCTGCTCCTTGGTGGTCAGTGAGCTCCCACAGCCAACCTCCCACGGTCCCTCCCCCAGACTGGGCGAGATGGCCCTAATCAGCCCTGATCGCTGTCCAGGCCACAGGACCCCACCCATGCACGAATTCGTGCACCATGCCTATACTTGAGAATAAAGAAGCAAATTCTGAGGGATATCACTTAAAAACCAACCATTTCAAGCTGGGTTTTGGACTCAGCATAGCCATTCTAATCTTCTACGCTTTCTACTCTGGGTTCCTACAGTGGCTCCCGAAATACTGCCAAAACCTCACTCTGCAGAGTCAATGATACTCCAAAAGGCAATACAGACTAAGGTAAGAAAGTAGTCTCAGACATACTACACTGGTAGCGAAAAGTAAAACCAAGATATTGGTTTCACTTGGTTCCCCAGGAAATCCAGACTACTCCCATCACAAGCACATTTACAATGTGTTCTAGTTCATTGAAGACTGACTAATAATTGAATCCGTACCCCATCTGTACTTTGCAGGGATCAGGTACCTCTATCATGCTCCAGAGAGCCCAGAATTGAAACAGGCTACATCAAAGAAGGCCCAATGATTTCAGTCTTCTGATGCTAAATCCAACCCCAGATTCATTCATCAAATATTTATTGAGCACTTAAGTGTGCCAGTCAGTTTTATGTGCTAGTGTTCCAGCAGTGAGCAAGACAAATACAAGCTTTGCCCTCATGGAGTTTTCATTTGGTGATATGTTGTCAGGAAGGAGAGTGATAACAGGCAAGGTGACCTGCAGGTATAGGTCCTGATGCCACTCACTTCATTCACTTCCTAAACATTGGTCCAGGCTTCTCCATCTTGCCTCTTACTATGGGAGGTGAATTTTGGAATTTAACAGAACAAGTGCAAAATTACTAAGCTGGGGCACGTGAAGTCTGCTAAGAGATCACAGACAGATTCCAAGACTCCCTTGGGTTTGCCTCCTCCAATAAGTCATGAGTTCCTTGAGGCAAGGAGTGTGTCTAGTTCATTTCTGTACACCATGCACTTAGCACAGTAAAGATACCCAGTAAATGTTGAATGAATAAATAAATGAATAAGTGGGTTTTTTATAATACTATACAGGGTGGGAGTCCATGTCTTGCCTAGGCTGGCTCAGTCTCCCCCACTTAGTATGAATACTTTGGCTTCAAAGTGACCCTCATGCTGATGGCACATGAGCACCACTCTGTGGGGATACCAAATGAGTCCTGAGGTACCTCTACATATACTGGTACCAATGACTATCCCTCTGATATACCAAGACAGCTATGCCAGTTACACATTTCAAAAAACTGTCTGAGAAAAATGGTACAGATGTTTGCTGGTTTAGTGGGATGGCTTACTTAGTGGAATGGCAAGAATAGTTAGGTTGATGGCACATTGAATTGGCGGAGGAGGAAGGCATAAGAGATAGTATAATAAAGTGAATGCCAGACTCTTACTTACTTTAACACCTGTGCAACTGTATTTGGTCCAAACCATTCGCCAATTGACTTTCCTTCTCCTACACCCATTTGTGCTGTTTTTATGTGGAAAAAAAATAAACATGTTAGCAAAAGGTCTTCCAGCATGCCACAAAATCCCAACTTTCTGCATAAATAAACAGGTGGACAACTTAGTGGAGCCACATACAAGGTAGGGGACAAGAAGAGCAGGTACAGGCATTGTCTTTAAACCACTGATGTGACCTTACCCATTTGATGGATAGAGTAGCAACAGTCTTTTCTATCTAAGAAGCACTGTAGGATCCGCTGGTATTCTTTGGGTTGTTCTTTTTGTTTCTCCCAGTTCCAGTCTTTTAGGGAAAAAAAAAAGGTTAAGTTTTTTTTATAATTTCTTATTACTTCTCTGAACTCTTATTATAACCATGAGGTTAGAAGGACAACAAAGAAGTTATATCTTAATGGCAGGAATGACCAACTTAGAACATTCCTACATATCTTTAATTTTGATGACAAAGGCATCTGGAAACTGATTACTTTCAAAGACTTGATAGGTGTAAAGTAAAAGCAAAACAAGAAGTTGACCAAGGAATTGACTTAGCCCCAGGGCTAGAAGTGGGTAAATATTATATGAAAACAGTCTCATAAAGGCCTTTCTGGTCAGCTACTCAGTGACCAAGGGGTCACACAAAACCCAGCAACATATCCGTATATCACCCAGATGCCAGTGTCTCATCACCACACAGACAGCAACGGCTTTCTCCTTATATTTTGGCAGCATTACCAAAAGAGTCTCATGGGGGGAGTGCTATTCTGACACACAACAGTTCACAGGGGGAAGATACACAATTCAGAGCTAAGGAAGCTTTAAAAAATTGCATGCTGCCAATTTTACACAACATTTAAAAAGTCCACACTGAGCTTTGCAAAAACAAATACCTTTGCTATCAGTGTTCAAGGTTTCCTTATGACCAAAACCAAAATAATCACATCTGTAGGGATCCCATCCATGACTTAGGCACAACCCTCCAATGCTACTGATGACAACTGCAAAAACTTGCCATAATCACTGCTGTGGACAGGATGCACTGCTCCTATCCCTCTGCTCTAGGAACTCTGTCTAATGGGACAGAATTCTGAGGCTTGCTTTGCTTCCAAGACATAAATTTATCTACTGAGGTTTTAGAAAGAGTTTGAATTCACAACTTAATTTTACTTGAAGCCAAAGGCCATTATCTCCAGAGTCTTCTATTCTCTTTGCTTTGAGTATTTCTGAAACCAAAGTTTTAAACTTCATATTCAGCACAGACTTCAGAGGGTTATCTGTATCCAACTGTTTTTCATCAGCTACCAAATTGTCCAAGTCTGGGCAAATCCTGATTAGCTGGCTGTTACTAGTAAGTACCACTAAATAGTTTCTGATGACGGTGATAAGTGAATCCACCTCAATAACTAAATAGGAAACACAACAAAACACTTCTTCACAAAATTATATCTTCTAATTCATCTTTGCTATAAGATCTATTCCCAAATCCTTCCTGCTATTTGCTTTTACATTAAAATAATTGAGACTGCTTACTGGGATTTTTTCCCCCAGTTTGCTTTTCACAAAATTCACTTGCAGAAGAAACACCTTTTTTAAAATTCTTTATTGTTGAAAGTATTACATATGCTATTTGCTACATTAAAATAATTGAGACTGCTTACTGGGATTTTTTCCCCCAGTTTGCTTTTCACAAAATTCACTTGCAGAAGAAACAACACTTTTAAAATTCTTTATTGTTGAAAGTATTACATATGTCCCCTTTTCCCCCTATTGTCCTCTCTCAGCCTGCCCCTGCCCCTAAGTCCCGACCTTCACCTCAACATTGTCTGTGTCCATTGGTTATGCTTATATGCATACAAGCTCTTTGGTTGATCTCTTATTCCCCACCCCCCAGAAGAAACATATTCTCATTTATAAATGAAAAAAAGTCACCCAGCCAGTAAGCTCAGTGGTTGAGCATCAACCTATGAACCAGGAAGTCACAGTTCAATTCCTGGTCAGGGCATATGCCTGGGTTGTGGGCTCAATCCCCAGAGTGGGGCATGCAGGAGGCAGCTGATCCATGATTCTCTCTCATCATTGATGTTTCTATCTCTGTCTCCCTCTCCCTTCCTCTCTCTGAAATCAATAAAAACATATTATAAATGAGAAAAAGTTAAATAGTAAGAATGAATCTTCTCCAAGAAGTGTACCATAGAGACATCTCTGAACAAGGAGTCAGAAGTCCTACATTATAGTCCCAAATCTATGTTTTCTAGCTGTTTGACCCTGGGAAAGTCACTTACTTCCTGAGCCTCAGTTTCTTCATCTGATAAACAGAAAGCAGGCACAACATATCCTAAACCCCAAAAAGAAGGAATCAGGCCCTCAAATCTCCCCAGATCCTTCCACAATCATTTGTGATAATGGCAGCAGGGTGTGTGAGGTTGCACAATGGAGAAAAGGAATAATGTTTCCATTCTCTGAATCTCAACGATTTCAGCAGAAAATCTCATTTAAGGTGTTCTTTCACTCCTTCATCCTCAAGTTGAACTGGACTTTCACTCAATTGCCAAAACTGGCATCCAGTCAGGGTCACCCTACAGATGCTCACAGGGAAGCACACATCTTAAAAAAGCAAGAATTGCCCAGCCAGTGTGGCTCAGTGGTTGAGCATCAGCCTATGAACCAGGAGGTCATGGTTTGATTCCTGGTCAGGTCATTTGCCTGGGTTGCGGGCTCGATCCCCAGTGTGGGGCATGAAGGAGGTAGCCAATCAATGATTCTCTCTCATCATTGATATTTCTATCTCTCTCTCCCTCTCCCTTCCTCTCTGAAATCAATAAAGATAGATTTTTTTTAAAAAAGAAAGGAAGACTCAAGAGTTCCAACAATGATTACTGAAATGATTTTAATAAAGTAGTTTTTTGAGGAAGGTAATTTAAGGATCCCTTAATCATCAAATGGACATCTTCAGTGAACCAAAACCAAAATAGCACCAGCTCCCTCATTAGGCATTTCCTTTATGTCATTTACATCCTTTGCCAGGCAGATATTTTAAATGAGGTCAAGAAACAGACCTACCACCACACCCTTCCTCCTGCTCCCTTTGTTATGTGACCCGTTTAAGGACTCAGTCACACAATGACGAAGATGGAAACTAAATGACACACCTGCCTCAAGGTTCAATTCTGTCCCTCTGGCTTGGTGATTCACAAGGAAATGTCGCCTCTTTCCTTCTCATGGGAGACTTTGTCAACTTGTCAACCACACCACTTGAGCTTACATGGAGCACTTTTAGGACCTGTAGCTCGGTTAGTGAGTATTCCTCAAGTTCACCACAAATATGAAACCACCAGCAGTAAGCCCTACTGAAGAGGTCTCTAAGGAAGTTTAGAGAACAAATTTAACTCACCCCTTCCCAAGTGTCTGCAGATAAGGGCTTGAGCCAGCATCATCTGTCCACAGCGTAGCATACATCCCCAGCCAGCATCTGATGAAGGGCCCGTTCCTCCTGTTGGCAAAATGGATGGCAATAAATATGAGTTCCTGAAATTGCCCTTTCCCAAAACAATCAGCATGTCTGGGAATCATACAAGATAGACACACACACCCACACCCACACACACACACACACACCCACACACACACACACACACACACACACACACACACACTTTCCTTCTCCTACACCCATTTGTGCTGTTTTTATGTGGAAAAAAAATAAACATGTTAGCAAAAGGTCTTCCAGCATGCCACAAAATCCCAACTTTCTGCATAAATAAACAGGTGGACAACTTAGTGGAGCCACATACAAGGTAGGGGACAAGAAGAGCAGGTACAGGCATTGTCTTTAAACCACTGATGTGACCTTACCCATTTGATGGATAGAGTAGCAACAGTCTTTTCTATCTAAGAAGCACTGTAGGATCCGCTGGTATTCTTTGGGTTGTTCTTTTTGTTTCTCCCAGTTCCAGTCTTTTAGGGAAAAAAAAAAGGTTAAGTTTTTTTTATAATTTCTTATTACTTCTCTGAACTCTTATTATAACCATGAGGTTAGAAGGACAACAAAGAAGTTATATCTTAATGGCAGGAATGACCAACTTAGAACATTCCTACATATCTTTAATTTTGATGACAAAGGCATCTGGAAACTGATTACTTTCAAAGACTTGATAGGTGTAAAGTAAAAGCAAAACAAGAAGTTGACCAAGGAATTGACTTAGCCCCAGGGCTAGAAGTGGGTAAATATTATATGAAAACAGTCTCATAAAGGCCTTTCTGGTCAGCTACTCAGTGACCAAGGGGTCACACAAAACCCAGCAACATATCCGTATATCACCCAGATGCCAGTGTCTCATCACCACACAGACAGCAACGGCTTTCTCCTTATATTTTGGCAGCATTACCAAAAGAGTCTCATGGGGGGAGTGCTATTCTGACACACAACAGTTCACAGGGGGAAGATACACAATTCAGAGCTAAGGAAGCTTTAAAAAATTGCATGCTGCCAATTTTACACAACATTTAAAAAGTCCACACTGAGCTTTGCAAAAACAAATACCTTTGCTATCAGTGTTCAAGGTTTCCTTATGACCAAAACCAAAATAATCACATCTGTAGGGATCCCATCCATGACTTAGGCACAACCCTCCAATGCTACTGATGACAACTGCAAAAACTTGCCATAATCACTGCTGTGGACAGGATGCACTGCTCCTATCCCTCTGCTCTAGGAACTCTGTCTAATGGGACAGAATTCTGAGGCTTGCTTTGCTTCCAAGACATAAATTTATCTACTGAGGTTTTAGAAAGAGTTTGAATTCACAACTTAATTTTACTTGAAGCCAAAGGCCATTATCTCCAGAGTCTTCTATTCTCTTTGCTTTGAGTATTTCTGAAACCAAAGTTTTAAACTTCATATTCAGCACAGACTTCAGAGGGTTATCTGTATCCAACTGTTTTTCATCAGCTACCAAATTGTCCAAGTCTGGGCAAATCCTGATTAGCTGGCTGTTACTAGTAAGTACCACTAAATAGTTTCTGATGACGGTGATAAGTGAATCCACCTCAATAACTAAATAGGAAACACAACAAAACACTTCTTCACAAAATTATATCTTCTAATTCATCTTTGCTATAAGATCTATTCCCAAATCCTTCCTGCTATTTGCTTTTACATTAAAATAATTGAGACTGCTTACTGGGATTTTTTCCCCCAGTTTGCTTTTCACAAAATTCACTTGCAGAAGAAACACCTTTTTTAAAATTCTTTATTGTTGAAAGTATTACATATGTCCCCTTTTCCCCCTATTGTCCTCTCTCAGCCTGCCCCTGCCCCTAAGTCCCGACCTTCACCTCAACATTGTCTGTGTCCATTGGTTATGCTTATATGCATACAAGCTCTTTGGTTGATCTCTTATTCCCCACCCCCCAGAAGAAACATATTCTCATTTATAAATGAAAAAAAGTCACCCAGCCAGTAAGCTCAGTGGTTGAGCATCAACCTATGAACCAGGAAGTCACAGTTCAATTCCTGGTCAGGGCATATGCCTGGGTTGTGGGCTCAATCCCCAGAGTGGGGCATGCAGGAGGCAGCTGATCCATGATTCTCTCTCATCATTGATGTTTCTATCTCTGTCTCCCTCTCCCTTCCTCTCTCTGAAATCAATAAAAACATATTATAAATGAGAAAAAGTTAAATAGTAAGAATGAATCTTCTCCAAGAAGTGTACCATAGAGACATCTCTGAACAAGGAGTCAGAAGTCCTACATTATAGTCCCAAATCTATGTTTTCTAGCTGTTTGACCCTGGGAAAGTCACTTACTTCCTGAGCCTCAGTTTCTTCATCTGATAAACAGAAAGCAGGCACAACATATCCTAAACCCCAAAAAGAAGGAATCAGGCCCTCAAATCTCCCCAGATCCTTCCACAATCATTTGTGATAATGGCAGCAGGGTGTGTGAGGTTGCACAATGGAGAAAAGGAATAATGTTTCCATTCTCTGAATCTCAACGATTTCAGCAGAAAATCTCATTTAAGGTGTTCTTTCACTCCTTCATCCTCAAGTTGAACTGGACTTTCACTCAATTGCCAAAACTGGCATCCAGTCAGGGTCACCCTACAGATGCTCACAGGGAAGCACACATCTTAAAAAAGCAAGAATTGCCCAGCCAGTGTGGCTCAGTGGTTGAGCATCAGCCTATGAACCAGGAGGTCATGGTTTGATTCCTGGTCAGGTCATTTGCCTGGGTTGCGGGCTCGATCCCCAGTGTGGGGCATGAAGGAGGTAGCCAATCAATGATTCTCTCTCATCATTGATATTTCTATCTCTCTCTCCCTCTCCCTTCCTCTCTGAAATCAATAAAGATAGATTTTTTTTAAAAAAGAAAGGAAGACTCAAGAGTTCCAACAATGATTACTGAAATGATTTTAATAAAGTAGTTTTTTGAGGAAGGTAATTTAAGGATCCCTTAATCATCAAATGGACATCTTCAGTGAACCAAAACCAAAATAGCACCAGCTCCCTCATTAGGCATTTCCTTTATGTCATTTACATCCTTTGCCAGGCAGATATTTTAAATGAGGTCAAGAAACAGACCTACCACCACACCCTTCCTCCTGCTCCCTTTGTTATGTGACCCGTTTAAGGACTCAGTCACACAATGACGAAGATGGAAACTAAATGACACACCTGCCTCAAGGTTCAATTCTGTCCCTCTGGCTTGGTGATTCACAAGGAAATGTCGCCTCTTTCCTTCTCATGGGAGACTTTGTCAACTTGTCAACCACACCACTTGAGCTTACATGGAGCACTTTTAGGACCTGTAGCTCGGTTAGTGAGTATTCCTCAAGTTCACCACAAATATGAAACCACCAGCAGTAAGCCCTACTGAAGAGGTCTCTAAGGAAGTTTAGAGAACAAATTTAACTCACCCCTTCCCAAGTGTCTGCAGATAAGGGCTTGAGCCAGCATCATCTGTCCACAGCGTAGCATACATCCCCAGCCAGCATCTGATGAAGGGCCCGTTCCTCCTGTTGGCAAAATGGATGGCAATAAATATGAGTTCCTGAAATTGCCCTTTCCCAAAACAATCAGCATGTCTGGGAATCATACAAGATAGACACACACACCCACACCCACACACACACACACACACCCACACACACACACACACACACACACACACACACACACTGAAAAGAGGTAAGAGATATAGCCAGATATCAAACAGGGTTTGTTACAGGGTAGAACTTGCAAAGTTAATGCTGAGTTAACCAAAATGGGTCCTATGGCCAAAAACAAAATAAACAAATGAACAGAACCTGTCCCTTATGTTTTCTGCTTGGAGACTTCTAGGTATGCATGCAATTTTGGTAGACGAGTGCAATGTATGACTACCAACACTTAGTCTATGCCATATAATTATCTGTTTGACCAAACCTGGCTTTGAACAGCTCACCTTTCAGGGAAACCCATCTTACCTTACTTAAGAAATAAATGCTATGAAAGGCAATCATCAAAATGGTCAAAGATATCTGGAAGACTTTTGACTGTTCTAAATGTACATTATAAAGATCTGAACAGCAAGAAGGGCAATGTAAAATAGAGAAAAGAATCTTAAATTGGGCATCAGAAGACCAGTCTCTAAATACCTAAATCTAAATCTCATCTACAGACTGGGGATAATAGCATATACCCTGGCTACTATCAGTGGGGATTATAAGAATCAAGTGAGAGAGTATCTGGGAAAGTGTTCTACAACCCACTCAGGATAATGGAAATATTTGGTGTTATGAGTAAGGTCACAATTAAGAATACTATTAATAGCCCAGCCAGTGTTGTTCAGTGGTTGAGCATCTACCTATGACCAGGAGGTCATGGTTCAATTCCTGATCAGGGCACATGCCCAGGTTGCAGGCTCCACCCACTAGTGTAGGGCGTGCAAGAGATAGCTTCTATCTCTCTTTCCCTCTCCCTTCCTCTCTCTGAAATTCATAAGAAACCCAATCACATTTTAACCAAATAATTTCAACATTTCCCCTATCTATGTTTTGACAATAAATATATTATATATATAATACATTGTATGTAATATATATTAAAAGAATACTATTAATAAATTAGAAATGTACTATATCTTTAAAAGGCACAAAACCAGCTAATAAATGAAATAAGACAAAGAGTTCCATTTTAAGAACACTTGATGTAACAAAAATCCCACAAATGTGGTCAGGATGAGCTCACTATCCTTTTTCATGGTACCAATGAAATCAGATAACTTGGATGGCAGAGGAGACATTCTGCTTTTATTGCTTTCATATCCCAATATGGAAGTGAACAAGTATACTATGAGCATGATCTCACAAAAGTAACTTTAAAGGGGGCCATCAACCTTATAAGACAAGTGAGCCAAGGTGGCTGCCCCTTTCCTTTTGTTGTGGGGATTGAAGGAGAGTTGCTACAGTAACAAGAGAAGGGTTGAGCCAACTTGAGAGCTAGAAGAGGAGCCCTTGGCTCTTGCTCATATTGGGATTACTGGCCAGATTAGTATGGAAAAGTTTCAGTGAAGCTCACATAAAGAAGAGAGCATCGAATGCCAAAACATTGTCAGAGTTGAATTGCAAATGTCTTCAAGCTTTGCAAAGACCTCTTCACCGGAGACAGTTAACAGTTTAGAATCACTGGGTACTGAAAATAGCTATTTTGTTTGTTTTACTGCTCAGGTACTTCCTGCAGAGGGAAAAAAATGTCTGTGTGGACTTCATTTTTGGCACTTTATCAGAAAACTTGATCTGAAGCCAATTAATAGGTCCAGTCCTGTATCAAAATTGGTCAGACAGGTTTCCTGTTAGGAGAATAGCTTCCACCATTTGGGTTTGGTAATCTTTTCCCACAGGGCCATGATACCAGAAATAGGTCACCCTACTTGCAAACATTTTAGAAATTTTCTCTAGAGGGAGCCTGTTCACTTAGCTTATTGAATTGTCCTTTTTTTTTCTAGACAGCAGCTGGTACTCTAAACCTAGAATTAGGTCCAAGGAAATCTATCTTCATTCATCTCCCAGTGGCAAGGTGTTCTCATTTCATAGGGGAAAACAATCAAAAGAATTACTTTCTTTTCTTCAGGTATAATTGTCTTTAATAATCAAGTAGCTACTTGATTAAATTATAATCTACACAAAGCAGTAGATTATAATTTAATAAATATTGCCCAAATTAAAAGTCTGACTTTTTCCTTACTCTCAGAAGTAAAATAAATAATACAATCCAGAGCTTGAACACTTGGAGGTGGGCTCAAAAGTATCTTGGTATTACACATTAACAGTATGGAGCCATACATGATGAGGTTCCTTGGCAATGAAACTTTTGCATGAAGTGTAAGACTTAAATACTCCCCTAAATCAAATTCTTAATCATAGTGAGCTTCTAATTTGGAGATTTCTGTGAACTCGCTGAAAACTTCAGGCAAGCTATGTACAAGGAAGAAAGCACAGTATAACAAATCATATACCTACCAATTGGTGAAAATTTCCTTCTGTATGTAAACCATAGACGAGCACTTATATCAGACAACAGCTTAGATTTTTCTGTAATTAAATGTGAAATTCAAATTAAATCACCATATCCCATCTAAAGATATCTGCTTTTGATTTCCGATCCAGCGGCAAACTAATTTTCAAATAACCAGGTAATTTCATTATTATGGGGCTAGGGAAATTCATAAGAAACCCAATCTCATTTTAACCAAATAATTTCAACATTTCCCCCTACCTATGTTTTGACAAGAGCCACTGACTAGTACAATGCTGCTGGGTGGCACCTGTCTCTTTTCCACTGAGCTCCATGGTCTTGGCAGGTACTAACACTGGGGTCATAGCCATAAGACAAAGAATAGGAAAAGCAAGGATCCTAGGTAACCAACTAACAAGGCAATCAGCCCTGCCTAATTGGTGACATTTGACTGAATCTGTCATCAGTACCCACTTTCTGTTATCTAAAACTGGGTATGGGTGTGTGTGTGTGGTGGGGTGTACACATGTGGACATGTTTAACTAAAATGAAAGTTCCCTGTTAAGCAAATTAATTATGTAAGCAATGTATTAATACCACCTAGTGCAACTGGTATTTGTAATCTAAATGGATGTATAACATCATAAATGTTTTTGTGTCTATTTTGAAAGTATGCTTTCTTGTATTTTATGACAAATTTATTTCGATGGCCACAAATATGGCTTCCATGTTCCCATCAATATTTAGATGTGGTTCTATCTTTCTTACTCTTCTCTCTCCCCCTTTTCAACAACATATCCTCATGTTTGTATTCTGTATAGTATAGTACTCATATCCATTGCATTTTAAAAGAAAAAAAAAAGGAAATTTAGTATCAGTCTATAGTTTCTATTTTCTCCCTTGCCTTTCCTTTTAACTAATCAGAAAATTACTGTCTGAATTTTCCTTCCCCTTCATGTCCACAGTGTCTGGCACATTTTGGGAAGCAGATGTATAATGGTTAAGAGTAAGATTCCTGGAGTCAAACTCTCCCTGGGTTTGAACCCTGACTATTCTACTTACCAACTGTGTAGCCCTGTCACTGAGATTCATTCTCATCATCCATAAAATGGGGAGAGCACCTACTTCATAGAGTTGTGAGCATTCCACAAGATAATACATGAAAGTGCTTAGATGCTACAGTATGTAGTAAGCCTGCATAAATGTTAGCTGCTATTATATATGCCTCCTCTCAAAATGTAAAGATCAGTCACTCCTTCCTTCCTCTGATATTTTCTATACCTCTCACCTTCCCTATATGCTAGGAAGTCTGGGGAAGTTGTATGGACATTTTAACAATTTCACTTTGAAAGTCATTTTGCAATTTAACATTTGAATATGGGTATGTTTGACAACCTAGTGATTTCTGTTGTCAAGGAATGCAGAACTAGAAGAGATGAGCTCCAGTCTCCTCATTTTATGTGCTAGTGAAGGGAGTTAAGCTCCAAAAGAGAAAATGACTTATCTAAGGTAGTAGAAGAGTCTGAATAGAAAAATTCTCCTAATGGCTAGCCCTGGCCGTTTTCCACTGTTCAGTCTTGTCCCATCAAAATTATGAAGCCAGACTCAGGAGGAGCTACAAAATGCCTAACTTCCTTTCCTGCTTTTTGATGAGCTTCTTCCTGTTATTCCCTCCATGCTGGGGCCTCTCCTCAGACAGATACAAAATTAGAGCTGCCTCTTTTCAAGCTCAGGATTTATCTGTGTACAGGGCCATTAGCAGTTTTAGGTTTAAAGATCTTTCCCAATCTATGAGAATGTAAGAGTAAGAAAGACAAATTCAGCCCTAGTCAGTGTATCTCAGTGGTTAGAGGATTGGCCTGTGCACTGGAGGGTTTTGGGTGTGATTCCAAGTCAAGGGCACATACCTGGGTTATAGGTTCAATCCCTGGCCACAGTCAGTTCCTGTGCAGGAGGCAACCAATCAAAGTGTCCAATCAATGTGTCTCCCTTATATCAATGTCTCTCTCTCTCTCTCTCTCTCTCTCTCTCTCTCTCTCTCTCTCTCTCCCGCTCCCTCCCTCCCTCCAAAGCAATAGAAAAAATATCCTCGGCTGAGGGTTAACAACAACAACAAAAAGACAAATTCAAGCTTCCTTTCCATCTATCTAGCTGCATGTTCTATACACAATCAGAATAAAGTAAAACAGAGCTATAATCAGCAAAATATCTCAAACTACAAGACTTCTCAGTGTCTGATATTGTTTCTGACAGCCATGGGCTGTTTAGAAGTCTCCAGTGCTTTAACCTAGACAGAAAAGGACATGTGAGGAATGAAAAGTATGTAGCCCAGTCATCAAAGACTAGATACTGGTTACTGATACCAGGAGTGGGTCCATGCTTTTTGAAACCTGAGTCTTACAGAATTCAGGGATTCTCCTTTAGGGGAAAGAATACAAATATATGACCTTTTCAAATTGTATAAACACTTACGACCATATAAACATGCTGCAAGGGCCTCTTAAGGTCTTGGAAGGGGCCTCTGCAAGAGAAGGGCCTGAGGCTTAAACTTCTTTGGCTGCCAGATAAATCAGCTAGAGAGTAGGATTAACAGTTATCAAGGTCATGTTCTGCCAACCCAAGGAGGAAAACTGTATAGGACCTTGACCTCAAACACCCACTTTATTTGGGTTCTCACAGACAAATGCTACCAAACCTTACCTGTTTTAAGGAGATGCTGTTTCCCCAAGATCCATACCAGGTCATCTGTATCTGGAAATTCTTCTAGGTAGTCAGCAAAAATAGTAATTTGGTTTTCATACTTGGATAAAACTGAAATTAAAGGGAAGAAACTCAGGCAACATTTAACAGAGGGGGCTTGCTTCTGTGGTCTACTGATTATTACCTTTATCCTAAAGGTGAAAGGTCATGAGTTGGGCTCCAAAGTAATAGAAGCAAATCCTTTTCTTTGAGGAAAAGAGACACTCACAGGCCACAAAATCCTTTAGTTAAGGGATTTCCTCTTGACCACCTTTTTTGACCTTCCCCTTTAAGGCTCTATTTGGCACCCCATCTTAATAATTATTTGGCTACAGTTAACTCAAAACCTTTTCTTTCATGGGGCCTTCTTTGTAAATAGTCACTTATCTAGGTTCTCCTAAAATTAGTTTATTAGGATAATACAATAATACCTTAATACCTAACTCCTACCCACATTACAGGGAATATTGTAAGGTTTCTAGTGGCCAATGGCTTGGAAGGGGCTATGACAAGCCTGAAAGTTTATACAACTGTGAAAATGTAATATTTTAGCTGGGAGACTAAATGTTTTAATGGTACTTTGATTTTTTATTTTATTCACATATGACTTCTGCAAAGTAGGATCTCACAGCTGATGATAAATACAGGGTAAGGCAAAAATAGGTTTACAGTTGTGAGTATGCAAAACATAGAGTTTATTCTTGCATTATTATTTATTAATTTTTGTATTATTTTACAAAATAATATGAACAACTGTAAACCTACTTTTGCCCTACTCTGTATAACTTGTTCTTGGGATTCACAAATGACTATGGTTATCTCTCAAAATAAAGTAACAGAATAAAATATAATTAAACCTTGTAAGATCATAGGCCAGAATCTCAGAATTTATGACCATGTAATGTAGGAGGGGTTAAAATTCACTTTTGTACCATTGGTGTCTGCCAAAAGAGTCAAGACTGAACTATAAAGGGGTTTTATCTCAAAAGTTATCTTTAAAAAACTATCAGCAAAGTGGGAAGAGAGGGATCATACCTCAACATAATAAAAGCCTTATATGACAAATCTACAGCCAGCATTATACTCAATGGGCAAAAACTAAAACCATTTCCCCTAGGAACAGGAACAAGACAGGGATGCCCACTCTCACCACTCCTGTTCGACATAGTACTGGAAGTGCTAGCCATAGCAATCAGACAAGAAGAAGAAATAAAAGGCAGCCAAATTGGAAAAGAAGAAGTAAAACTGTCATTATTCACAGATGACATGATATTGGACACAGAAAACCCTAAAGACTCCATAAAAAAACTACTAGATTTAATAAATGAATTCAACAATGTAGTAGGATACAAAATTAACACTCAGAAATCTATGGCCTTTTTATACACCAACTACAGGCCTGGTGCACAAATTCATGCATGGGTATGGTCCAGCTGGCCTGCCCTGATGGGGGTCCATCAGGCTGAGCTGGCAGGGAAGAGGGGCCACCAGCAGTTGGCCAGCTGGCCCTGCCCCCGATTGGGATGTTGGGGGCTGATCAGGGGCCAGGCCAGCCAGGAGGGTGGCCAATCGGGGCCCAGATCAGGCTGGTTGGCTGCCACAGTATGTGTCACAGCCAACAGTTGTTCTGGTCATTCTGGTCATTCCACCATTCAGGTCGCTGGGCTTTTACATATAGATAATGAACTCACAGAAAGAGAAACAAAATGGATAAAGGACTTAAACATAAGATGGGAAACCATAAAAATCTTAGAAGAAGCCGTAGGCACCAAAATAGCAGACATATGTCGTAGCAATATCTTTACCAATACAGCTCCTACAGCAATGGAAACTAAGGAGAAAATAAACAAATGGGATTTCATCAAAATAAAAAGCTTCTGCACAGCAAAAGAAAACCATCAACAAAACAAAAAAGCCCACTGCATGGGAGAACATATTTGCCAATGTTATATCCGATAAGTGCCTAATCTCCAAAATTTATAGGGAACTCATACATCTTAACAAAAGGAAGATAAATAATCCAATAAAAAAAGGGCAAAGGACTTAGACACTTTTTGAAAGAGGACATACAGAAGGCCCAGAGACATATGAAAACATGCTCAAAGTCACTAATTATCTGAGAGATGCAAATCAAAATGACAATGAGGTACCTTCTCACACCTGTCAGAATGGCTATCATCAACAAAAAACAAGTGCTGGTGAGGTTGTGGAGAAAAAGGAACCCTTGTGCACTGCTGGTGGGAATGCAGACTGGTGCAGCCACTGTGGAAAACAGTATGGAGTTTCCTCAAAAAATTAAAAATGAAATTCCCATTTGACCCAGTAATCCTACTTCTAGGAATATATCACAAGAAACCAGAAACACCAATCAGAAAGGACAAATGCACCCCTATGTTCATAGCAGCACAATTTACAATAGCAAAGATTTGGAAACAGCCTAAGTGCCCATCAGCAGCTGAGTGGATTAAAAAATGGCTGTACCTCTACACAATGGAATACTATGCTGCTATAAAAAAAGAACTCTTACCATTTGCAACAGCATGGATGGACATGGAGAGCATTATGCTAAGCGAAATAAGCCAGTCAGAGAAAGATAAATATCACATGATCTCACTTATTTGTGGAAT